CCCAAACCCCCCAAACCCCCCAAATTTCTATGCGCGCGCACACACATACATACTTCTAATACCTATATCTCTGAATATTTTTTGGTTTACCACCGGTATTAAGTATTCGTATTGGACCCAACTAATCTGGATAAGGTTCATAAAATGGAAAGTAACAATATCTATCAGGATTTTTTCTATTTCTAAGGCTCGAACCGAAATCTCTATTAAGAGTAGTAGAGTTATATTATCTATCTCGTCACAACCGTCACCAATGCAAAGAACCAAATATGTCAAAGTATATATAGTTGAATGTCAATATATAATTCAATGATGTTAGGTGGCGAGTTCTTGTCCTTATAAAAGATCAAGACAATTACAAAAAGGACCCTTTTAATGGTTTTCTCTTCAGTCTAGTTTCTGTTAGACTAATTCATAAGTCAAGAGATAGGAAGAAGTTGGTACAAATAGAAAGTGTTCATATTAGTTGACTACTAGCCTTCCCAAAGTTGTTTAATTGGTATTTTCTTGTTAAACGTGATCTATTTTTTGTTTACTCATTCATATTCAAACCACACTTAGTCGACTAATCTGAATTTGCGCTAGGTATAGCAATTAAAGGTGTAAAACACGCCCTACCGAAAGATTCTTTGTTTGTACAGCCTGAAACATTTGATTAAGAATGAACATCCAAACTGTATAGCCAATCAAATTTCTCGGATGACTTACATATATATTTATATTTCGCGTTGAAAGTACTAAATATAGATGAACCTGTAATTTAAAAATGTAATATATTTAATACTAAAAACCTTACATATTGATTTCGTTAAATTTAAATCTTGGATCTGCCGTCGCTTATACACATAAACATTACGTACAATTCTCTACGAATAAATACTCCAGAGAAGTGTAAAGAAATGCATATCTGTCCCAACCAAACACACTATATTTTTTTTAACTATTGTCAACTGATGACTTTTAAATAAAATCCAGTTGTACGAACAAGTACATAACGTTTTTACTTACGACCTTCTAGATTTAGACAAGTCCAAAGTTTCCCATAAAAGTACATGTCTAACCTATTCACATCTATCTTAATAAGGTTATCCGTTAGTATATATATATATATATGAAATTTCCTCCGAAGTTTCGTAATATATAAAATATAGCACTGAATAAAATAGATGAAAGAATGGCTCAAGAATACAAAATATCATCATATTAACGTCATATTATTGATTTAGTAAATTAGGTCAAACAAGTAGAATATGATGTAGTGTGAACAATGAAGGCTAGCTGTAATTAATCTATGGTACACATGCAATGAATGTTGAACGCGATTAGCACACGAAGTTTAGTCAATTAATTAATTAATTAGTTAATAATATGTTTAATTCCGTGTTCTCACATAAATTTCGATTGGATGCATCAAAATATCTGTTTAGCATTTTCATGGGAAAATAATTCTCGTAAATAATACAATCCATGGTTATTTATGTTTGGTTAGAGGAATTAAAAAAGACAATGCGTGATTATTAATGTTTGTCGGCTGTTTCAGAATAAATACTAATTTCCGCATAATTAATGATCTGTTTCGTTAATGTTCGCATTAAGTTTTGTAAAAATCTATGTATTCTTTCATGTGGAATAAAATGTCTAATATGAGATTTAAAAATAAAAATATACTTAAAATATATATAATCACTACATAATATTCCATGTATTATTATTTCTTCCTTAATAATTTCTACATTATTGCTCACCATATGACAATAATCCTTTTATCATTATTCACTACATTAACATTATATTCCTTTGCTTAATTAGCATGTGAACAAAACTCCCCTTTCCAACCCCCAACAGACGACTAAATGATAATAATAGTTGCTGACTTTACATTTTAATTCTTTCAAAGTAAAGAATAAACCAAAGTGGAAGGAACTAATTAATAGAATTTCTAGAAAAATGAAGGTGCCACGAATTTACGTAAATATATATCGTCATGTAACATGTTGGTTCGCTAGTCAACTCACGACTTTATTTATGCAAATTGCTAGTACAAGTAGGAGACTAATACTATTATTATTGTTATATAGTTTTTTTTTTCTTTTTTTCTTTTGGCAAGGAGATTAGTAGTATTCGCTAAGCCACATTGTCACGCTTGCGTGATCCATGATGTCTACCTTAGGGGTCGCAAATAGGCTGGTTGGGTTAGATATCAGAGGGTAAAAAATAGAAAATACAAAAATTAATAAATATTCGACCCGCACCATATTTAATACGGATAGAGGTTACGTATATAAAGTTAAATCTTTTTTGCGTCTATATAAGAGATGTTGAAATCTCCTTGGCTACTTTGCATATTTACTTTTTAATTTCTTGAATCCCTTAGTAAAATTCTTAGCTCCGCCACCGAATAAAACCACTAGTTCAAGTTAGCAAAACTACTGCATACTCCTTTTAGATTAAAAGCCCCACTGTCATTTCCTAAACAGATAAAGAAGTGTATATAACTTATCCCACAAGAAAGTACACGCCCAATTTAGTCATGACAAAAAATTCAACTAATCCTAGTCAAACTAATCAAACTAAAAACCCTTATAAATAAATAACCTAATTCCCCCCACAAGAACCTAAAACAATATTTCATTCTCTCTTCTTCCTACAAAAGTTAACAAAAAACCCCTCGTCCACACCCATATTCAACCAAAAAAACCCACAAAAGAAACAAAAGTACGTACCATTTCTCAAACATTTGCATGAAAATGGTGGTTCTACCAATAAAGAGAGAAAGAGAAAGTGATCTTGATACCATTACAACCATGGCTAATTACTTGATGCTTCTCTCTCGCCAAGCAAATCATTTTGACACATTGAACAACTCTCCTAATCGAGTTTTCGAGTGTAAAACTTGCAATAGACAATTTTCTTCATTCCAAGCTCTTGGTGGTCATAGGGCAAGTCATAAGAAGCCAAGATTAATGGGAGAATTGAACTTTCATCAGTTGTCAACTTCTCCTCCTAAACCAAAAACACATGAGTGTTCAATATGTGGGCTTGAATTTCCTATTGGTCAAGCTTTAGGTGGGCATATGAGAAGGCATAGGGCTATGTTGAATGAAAATAATATTCAAGTTTCTCATGTTGTAAAGAAATCAAATAGTCCGAGAGTTTTATGTTTGGATTTGAACTTGACCCCTTTGGAGAATGATTTAGAGTTCAAGTTGGGGAAATCATCTCCTGTAGTTGATTGCTTCTTGTGATTATAATCACTAGTCTAAAGTTCATGTTATAAACGAAGGGGAGCCTCGGAGCAAGGGTAAAGTTGTCTCAATATGACCCGTAGGTCATTGGTTCGAGCCACGGAAGCAGCCACTAATGTTGCATTAGGTTAGGCCGTCTACATCACACCTCTTAGGGTGTGGCCGTTCCTCGGGCCTTGCTTGGACACGCGATGCCTTGTTCATCGGGCTGCCTTTTTTGTTTTATTTTTTGTTGTATACACTATCAGTGTAGCATAAACTCTAAATCATATGTAAACAATTACATGGTAGGTTTTTAATTAGTTTTCTTTCTATTTTCTTGTTATAGATCTTGCTCTAGATAAGGATTTATTTATTCGTTTATACGAGGGATTTAGGAGTCTCTAATCTTGTGGATTTCGTTTTATAGATGGATTATTTAAGATTGTAAAAAGGTTAACTGTATGTGATTATTCATACATAAGCCTGGATGTAATATATATATATAATATATGATTTATATAGTGTTATATATACTTGATTATTGTGTTTACACTATGCGTTTGGTATTATTTATTAGCTGTGGAAAATTTCATACTATCATATTTCTTTCATAAATATTGACTATTACATTTGCTTTAGTTCAGACAAGGCGTGAACATCAAAACGAGTATATGGTCGTGTTATTTGATAATAGGTGAATTTAACTATAATCACGCCTTAAATAACCACCTTCTTGTATAGTTTTGATGATAAAAGTGATAACAAAATGCTCTTATTAGTGCTTTTCATGATTTGCAGATGATATATGACCAGGGAAGGCTAGGGAGTACTTTTTGAGTCAAAAATGAAGAAAAAGAGGCCAACTGTGAAATTCCCCAAGTAAACCACGCAAAATAGGCCTGAAGATTCAGAGAGCTGTGTTGACCGCGGTTCCACCGCGACCGCGGTAGAACCGCGGTGGAAGATAGCTGCGGATAAAATGAGATTCAGAGAAGGCATTTGGCCGCGGTTTGACCGCGACCGCGGCAGAACCGCGGCGGAAGCAGAAAACTTCAGGGACTAAAGTGTAAAACACGGGATTTTTAGACCTAAACCCTATTTTAAATACGAGACTTCGCCCAAGAGAGGCATGTATTGAATTTTAGAGTATCTTGGCAAGAAAAACTGTTGTGAGAGAATACCCAAAAACATAGTTCTTCTTTTCTTTGATTTTTATTGCTAGTTATGATGAATTCTATCTTAGTTTGTTTTCCCATAGCCATGAGTAGCTAAATCCTTTGTCTAAGGCTTTGATGGAACCTATTGGGGGATGAACATCTTGTTTATGTGAATATAAATTGCTAGTTTCAATCTCTATTTGTTCAACTTTGTGCTTGTTGTAGTTAATTGACAGGATCCTCAATTAGCTGTGCCTATTTAGTGTGCATAACTTGGAAAAGAGTGCATATTTAGGTTATTGTTGAACAACACCACTCCCAAAGTATACGAGGAATCTATAATCGCGGGTTTAAAGGCGGGATTAGGGATAACGAAGCCTTGGGTGTAATCTAAAGTGAATTGTGCTAAATAAAGTAAGCTAGTGTATCTCGGGAGAGTGCAATTAGTATATTTATGTGATTACTCGGGAGAGATTTACGGTAAGATGAGCGTTCATGATTGATAGAGATGTGTTGGTAAATTTGTATGAGCACAAACAGAAGGGATTCCTTCAATAGGGGAAATCATTGCCTTAGCTTCTTCTCATCATTGTTTACAACCTTAGCATTTTAATTTACAGTTGTTTAATTTACTTCAAATCGTAGTTAGTAAAATGACCTTCAACTGTAATTCAAACATCTGGGAAACTGGTTCTGAAGAGTTTAGTGGGTCTAAAGATAGTGATTGATAGGTTAACTCTCTGTGGATTCGACCCTGGGCGTAATACTCGGATTATATTTGCAACGTCCGCAGAGTCCTTTTTAGAGGGTATAGTTGGGCGTGATCAAATTTTGGCGCCGTTGCCGGGGAGTTAACGGAATTATCAATTACCATTGATAGAAATACAAAAATTCTTAGTGTGGTCAGTTTTCTCTCTACCCAATTTTCCATTGAAATTTTGACAGTTGTTGATCTGGTTGCACAGGTGTATGCCTAGAAATTCTACGAGGACTGGAGAACTACTTGAAGGACTCTCTGACCCCGAGAAAACATTCCGGACATTGAACCGTGCCAACAAAAGACTTCAACAATCCCAACAAACACACAAATTCGAAATTGACATGGGAGACGTAAACGATCCCAACGGAAACGTCAGGAATGAGCAAGTTGGCTTAAATGCCAGAGAAGTGGCACCTCTTGTGCCTGAGGGTGCACTATATGACTGGGCACAACCCACAGCTGACAATCTGGCCACTACCATTGTTGTGCCCGCAATACAAGCTGAATTGTTCCAGATCACAAATAACATGCTACACTTGTTGCAAAACAAGGGACACTTTTCTGGGACACAAACAGAAGATCCTCAGCAGCACTTGAAGAACTTCCTGTCTATATGCAAAACTCAAAGGCAACCCAACGTGACTCCGGAAGCAATCAGGCTATTATTGTTTCCATTCTCGGTGACAGGAGTTGCTCAGGTTTGGCTAAACTCGCTCCCCATAAACTCTATAGAGACTTGGGATGAATTAGTCAAGCAATTTCACAACAAATTCCACCCGCCCAACAAAACTGCTCAACAAATTGATGAGATCGTAAGTTTCAAACAGAAACCAATGGAGACACTACACGAGACATGGGGCAGGTTTAAAGGAATGTTGGTTATGTGTCCCCACCACGGTGTTCCAGAACAGATGTTGGGACAATGGTTTTACATGGGACTGTCTGACAGCATGAAGAATATTGTAGATGCCTCTGCTGGTGGGGCATTCTTGAGCAAGACTTGGAGAGAAGGTCAGAATTTGCTTGACAAGATGGCGCAGAATTCGGGATGGACAACTAGGAATGCACCTATCACTCCAGTGGTGCACTCAGTGCCTCTTGATCCTTCTAATACAATGGCTGAAAATATGGCGACTCTCTTGACACAAATGAGCATCCTCACCAAAAAGGTGGAGGAATCAGGGCAGAAGCAACAGGTACATATAGTAGATACTACCAATGGGGGCTTGTACACATCTTGTATTAGCCAGCCAATTGGTAATCCTTGGAATGCAGAGCATGATCATCATCATCAGCACCCTGAAGATATGAACTATGTGGCTAACTATGGGGGTCAGAGACAAGGAAATCAGAACTGGGGTCAGCAGACTCAGCAGCAGTGCAGGCTACCTCAGCCACAGTATAACGCCGGAAACATGGGAGGCATGAGACCCCCCAACAACATGGCACCGTATCCTAGACCACAGGGGTACAACAATCAGCAGCAAGGGTACCACCCACCTCAGCAGCAGCATGGAAGAAGACAGGAAGACGGGTTTGCAAGACTGGAAGCAATGATGCAGCAGGTTATTGGGTCCAATGCTAAGATAAATGAAAGGGTGGATGCACATGATGCGGCTATCAAAAATATTGAGGTACAAGTGGGCCAGATTTCAATGTCACTGAACAATCGTCCTCAAGGGACATTACCTGCAGATACCCAAATCAATCCAAAAGATCA